CTCCTTCTCTGGAGATATTCAAGACCCGCCTGGACAAGGTCCTGTGCAGCCTGCTGTAGGTGACCCTGCTTCGGCAGGGGGTTTGGACTAGATGACCCACAGAGGTCCCTTCCAACCCCTAACATTCTGTCATTCTGTGAAATAACCCGTTGCGTGATTTGTCTTGTTCTACTTGGTAGCCTCAAGTGTGTGTCTTCAGAACAGATTAATTGCAATAGTAATTCTAAGAAAAACTATTGTTGAAAGTTATGAAGGAGTCAGTCTGTAAGGAACAGGAACCGGTGCCTAGAGCTACAAGCTTTATTAAAGTGTATCTTAAATTTTCTCATAATGATAATACCTAAGAATATCTGCTTGGTTTAAAGAGAAGGCAGGGCACTGGTCTTGTTACTGAGCAAACCTGAGGACTAGCTCCATGTCAACAGTAGTATTTTAGTATTAGTTTCCAAAAAGTACAGTGTTTGTTTATAAGAAGCCCTCTAAAAGTTTAGAAGTTTGAGATTCCAAAAAGCTCATTTTTAATGTCCTCATCTTGCCCTTTTCCTAAATGATTTCAGAAGTATTGATAATAAATTTTATTTTAGTCGTTATTGGCCAGACCTGTGGGCTGAATATTGTGTGAACTTCAGTGAATGTGTCCATAGTCATGTGCTTTCCCCCACACACTTAGTAAAACACTTGAATCAGTGCTGACATGTGCAAACCATTCTGCTCTGTATAAAGAGAATTCAAAGCCTAGATGAATGGAATGGTTTTCTAGAAAAGCAGCCTATTTAAATCCAATTAGTGTATCTTGGTTTTCCTGTGGTTGTACAAATATATTGCACCTTTAGCTTAAACAGTGGCTTGCACAAAGTGATGCTGAGATTTGATCACTTGTGGCACCTAAGCACTTTTAAGTGATCATTGTTTATCATGTAGTATAATGTGTTTTATTGATGTATGTGATGTGGTAGGTATAGATGTTTCTTCCTTATAATGTGCAGGCCCAGTATTAGCCAGTGAGAACAATGTATAGTGTAAAAAGTAAGAAAAATCTATTAGAAGTGCCTACTGTATTATCTAAAGGAATTAGCATTTGCTAGATTGCCAGTCAGCCGTGGTTTTACAAGAGTTATTGTCATTTTGATTTTTGGATGAGTCATTTGGTATATTGGCCCCAAAGGCACCTCATTGTGATTCAGTGCACAGCATATAAAATTGCTGAGGCTTTCAGGGCTCCATGGAAAGCGACTGGGGGTTGCGGTGGCTCAGCGTTGTGAAGCAGCAGCATTATGCTTAATTGACACCTTTGATGTAGCCCTAAGACAGCACCTGCACCTCCCACTGCTGCTCTGAAGACGTCAGCCTTACGCAGAAAAGGCTTCTGCTTATGAATCCTGCATCGCGTTCAGCTCACTCTGTGAGCAGCCCCAGCTATCCTTAACTAATCCCATTGCTTCTCAGTTTGGCTACGGCTTGACTTAGCACAGAGCAGGAATTTTGCTGCTTGCTGTCATCAGGTTAAACAGTAAGATTTTGTCCATGTTAGAACTCATAGAAGGTAAGTCAAATGCCTTGTTGATATCCTAGTGTGTAAATATTCTGCTGTCACAGAATCTGGGAATCTGATTGCCGATTCTGTTTTTTGCAGGTGCTGCCAAATGTGGACTGTGATATAACAGTTGCTTGTTTAAGAATATTTACACACACATATGTGTATATATATATGTGATACACGCTTTGTAGTGTTTCTATCAGTGCTTCTGTGTGAATGTTATTGTTAGCCTCTCGTGTGATTACTTTGTAGTAGAACTCTGTCCTCTGCTGGTATTGTTTTGTTAATTTAATGGATAGTGTCACATGCAGGCAAAAGATGCTTCTAAAACAATAGGCACCGTCGTATCTGAAGGAACTTCCTTATTTGAGAAAGTGATGCTTTGCTGTAAGTTAGGCTTGAGGTGTTACGTCCAATTTATTTGCCTCTAGAAAGTCCTGGGTTAAGTCTGAGGTGATGTTTGGGTCAGACAGTATTGCAAAATTGTCTCCGAATGAATGAGTGAGGAACAGCAAGCAGCTGATTTGTTCCTGTAAGCAATGCTGCTGTTTATTTTTGGTAGGTAGCATTTTCAAGCCATAACTAAATGGAATGAAAAGCTTTACATATAGCAAGTGTCTGTTAAGGCTGACAAAGCACCTTGCTCTCCGTCTCTTTCAAGCACAGGAACAATACAGTTTAAGAAAATGTGATCATGTTCTCTGCCATTGACTAAACAGTCTTTTGAGGTTTGTTGATTATTTGCTTTCACTCTGTATAAAAACTGGCTTTATGAGCCAAAACTGAGCAAAGAGTTCTTTTGTGAATTATCTTATTTAATGTTTAAAACATTAAGCAAAATCAAATTAATCTGTTCAACAAAGAATGAAAAGAAATATGTTGATTTAACTATTTCTTTGCTTCTAACAATGCCTTGTATTTATTTTTTTCAATTTATTGTCCTTTTAGTGAATGGAACCCCTGGTAGCCAGCTTTCTACTCCCCGCTCTGGGAAGTCTCCAAGCCCATCTCCCACCAGCCCAGGAAGCCTACGGAAACAGAGGGTAAGGAAATAAGGAAACTGATTTCTGAGCGTGGCCGGGGAGAATCCTGCATAGCCATTATCCGATAGCCCTCTCCCCACTGATTCCTTGTGGGTAGAGTGGTAGGGTGGAAGAGCCTGGCTACAGTCCTTATTGGGTTTGTACAACATGCTGAAGTGGAATACAACTGTTCTCTGTCTGTCAAAATGCAAAGTACGCTGGGAATTGGTTTATCTTTGAGGGGAAAAACAGGGGTATCTTTCTCCTTTCTTGCAAAACTTTTTTTTTGTTTTAGGTTCTTTTTCCAAACATTTCCCAACTGGAAGGAAATGTTCACGTTGTCAAAGACATTTTTTTGTTCTTAATTTGCTATGGGCATTATGTCACTTGCAAAACCTACAAATTTGATTTTGAAGCAAGGTGAAAGAATGCGCTGTGGAATTCAGCTCTGGATTAGCTGTGATATCATAGCCCTGTGCAGGGAAGATACTGTCAGTACCAAGGCAGCACGAGACTTGTCAGTCACTTTGCTGGACCAGAGTTGTTAGTAGTTGTAGGTTGCCCCTGGTTACCATGTATAGAGGAATCTACAATGTACCTAAGCATCCAGAATTAAGGTAGTACCTATGTTACTGCTGTAACCCTCTGACAAAATATTACTTGTTCAACCCAAAAGGCTCCACATGCTGATTTAATTAATTGTATCTGTTCAAAAGCCATGGGACAGACGTCTATGTCTCTTCTCTTCTGCTATTTTCTAAACTGTGATCAGTTCTCAATGAAAGCTTCCCTAAGGCAGTACTCTGTATCTCAGGCTTGTTTATAAACACAATTTGAACACATGCTTTTTCTGCCTTTTCAGTTTTTAAGTAAAGACATAACTTGTGTCTCTCAAAGTAAGGGGATTATGTGCAAAATTGGCAGTGCTTGACTTTAGGGGCTGGTGCAGACCTGATTCCCCAGATCTCCAGATCAGGAATAGCTGTAGCATGGCACAACTCCCTCCTGGCCTGTGGTACCCTTCTTTGTGCGCGGTGGATACCAGGGAGCTGAGGAATTGTGCATGCCCAATTCGTACCTCGGGCTGGGGTACAGCCATGGGTTTCTGCCATGACTTGTTTATAGATGCAGAAGCCGACTGTGATCTTGCAATACAGAGATAGCCAGTGAGCGGCAGCTTGGAGCCTCAGGGTAGTGTCGTGGTTTTCATCGTCTGGCACGCAGAGAGTAAAGATGCCCATTTCAGTTGGGTGAGCTGGTACTAAAATCTTCTTGAATGCAATGTCTTCCAAACCTGTTTGCTCTTACTCTCAAAGCTTATTAATGAAGCATTAATAAGTCACTGAAGAGGGAAGAAAGAGTCTTCCGAATGAATTATACATTGGTGATGTAAGGGTGTCTGTCTAGATGGATTCTATCAGAATACAGTGGATTTCCAGGTACTGTAAGGCTGTTTCTTTTCTTTGGTAACTTTTCCTAAACTTCCTTCCCCACCACTGATGCTTCTTTCCCCACAGTGAAGAAATGTTTTTCTGTTTATGTTTGTGGATGGGTGAGTGGGAACCGTGCAGACAGCACCATTAGACTCAAAGGGTGCTTGTCTGCAAGGTTTCTGACTTTCAAATGTGAAGAGGAGAGTGAATGGGATGCTGCTTATCCAGGTTCCCTATGTGGAAGTGTAACAGGATCACCAAGTGGCACCATTATGGATGCAAAGGGCTCTGTAGTGGTAACATAATCACATAGCTAACTGTATAGAAAATAAATATTGAAGTAAACTGCAGGAGAGATCAGACATTGTTAAAGAGTTAAATTCTCTTCTCAGATAACCATATCCACTCCCCTTGACCTCACAGGGGACCTTTCATGCTTATATGGCTTTATTTTAGACAACCTTTTTTTGTTTAACTGACAAAATATGGTATACATCCATGTAAAAATAGATTGCAATCATGTAAAAGTGCATTGCAATAATGTTATTTAGGTTACAAAATCGACTGCTCAGGAGTTGAGGGATGGAAACTTTACACTTGCTCTGAGAATTTATTTCAGCTCCTTTCATGTTTAACTTGTGAAGTGAATGAGCTCAAAGTTCAGTGCAAAAACATAGGATTGTGTCGTTAAAGGTCACAATGTGTATTCCAATGACTATATTAGTTCTACGAACAGCAACTAAACAGTGCTTACTAATCTTAATTTTCTTGTTAGCAGTACAAAAGGTGTTCTGTTTTGTTTCAATACCATCTTTTGTATTTTTCAATTTGATTTTTATTTAGAGGACAGGTTAGTTTATGTCATAAACCAAATTTGAATGCAAAGCAATTTGCTTTGTCTTCAGTGGCTTCAGCTACAGGGCTGACAAGCCAGCTTCTGGAGAAGGTTTATTGCCTAAGAGGTTGTTGAAATGTTGGTATAATGTGATAGACCTATAAGAGAGGAGACAGATTTCAGTACCCCCCTTGTCCCCAGTGTTGAGGGGTGAGGTATTCCCACCCCACGCTCAAAAGAAGGGTGTTGGCTGCTAGAGCCATGTTCTGAGGTTGAAGGTGATGGCTGGGTTTCTGTTAGGTCTGGGTTTCTCTCTTTATGTGGAGTTTGAGGGAGCTACTGCTTTGGCACTGAAATAAGATGCTGGCTCCTGGCAATGCCAGCTCAGCTGCGTAACTTTTTTTCTCTGCCCCTCTCTCTGTGTGGTGAGAGTTAGAGGAGTGCCTGTGCTCTCGTGCTGTCAGGTACATGGGATGCCGGCGGTGTGTGCTGGGTCTGGAAGGCGGTAGGGAGCGTTGACTCTAGCATAGCCTGATTCCCCTTGGCGTAACTAATCAAGCAGCTCTTCAGCATCCCCATCCGAGTGCTGTGAGGGAGTTGCAGGCTTGGTCCGTCAAAATGCTAAGGGCTTTGGGCAGGCTGCCAGTGGTTTTCCTAGGAAGTGCAGGAGGGAGGAAGTCACGCTTTTGAATTCAGAGGTGCAAAACCAAGGTACTTCCACAAACTGAGTGACTTCTCCCTGTGAGTGGTAAAGACCTGTAAAAATAGTACAGACGGTAGAATTTTCCAAAGAAAAGATTCCTTCCAATTGTGGTGTGCATTAGGCAACTTAAAATAGGGAACAATCATCTTACTTACTGACGTTTCATCACTCACCTTTTTATAAAAAATAAACTCTGGCCTTTGATGGAAGGCTTTCCACTGATGTAAATAAAGCCAGAAATGCTGCTGTGGAACATGCTTATGAAAATAGCACTCTTATAACCCTACAGATAAAATTTTGTACCCTCAAAAGCAAGCACATAAAAAGATAAAGTTTCATCCTTTCTCACTTGCATATGTATGTGGCTGAGTTGTTTCCAGAAATTCAGAGATGAGTGAAAGTTATATTTTTATAATCTTGGGCAAAATTCTCTATTTGAGGAAAGTAAGATTTGAAAGATTAATTTCATGGGTATAATACAAGGACTTGAAAGTAAACTAGGAAACACTCATCAGCTATCTGAGCTAACTATCAACCAGTTATCAGCTTCTGAGTATTTTAACTTGCAGGCTGTGTGCTATAGTTACATTTTCTTGTAGTTTATCTCTTCCTGTATATTTATTCTTAAGTAGGAAATTAGGATTCTTGTTTTTAAATTGTTACGTACTTAATTGTGTATTTCCACAGAAGATTAAAACATCTGAAATTCAGGTTTATAGCAGTCGAAGCAGAGAGTTATTGTGTTGCACATGAATATAGTTCCTGCCACAACAGAGTATAGTTAATGACGCAGACTCAGAAAAGCTGACATGGCAATCAGAACTATACATAAGAGCAACCTCCACATTTTATTTAACTACCCTTTATAATAGTTTATGAGCTTATTTTCCCACTGTCTTGTAATCTGAATCATTATTTCAATGAAGGTGGACACATTCTGTGCTTTATACCTGATTTTCTGTTGCTTGCCATTATTTTAAATGTTTTTTCTACTTCTGTACAGACTAGAACCTATAGAATAATAAAACATGAGATTTAAGGTACCTCTTGACTAATCAAAGAGGATGAATTCTATGTATATAAGGATTTTTTTGAGTTGTATGTGGCCAAGCAGTCTTGTTCATTCAGCAAATTTTGTCTTTTTGTTAAACAGTGCAAAATAATAAATAGATTTTCCTCATATTTTTCAGAAATACAGCTCTTCGGCTAGTTATAGGCAAGGAAAACTCTTGCAGAAAGGAGAGCTTTAAAAAAGTTTTAAAACTTTTAAAGTATTTAATAGTATACGAAAAAGCAGAGAATATGATCCTGAAATCTTGTGCATGATTTTGCTTTAAAACAACCATAGAGTTATTAAAATAAACACAAAAATATTCCCTAATTATTAAAAGTCAGTTCTCACAAGTATCTGCTTACTAAGTCCTGATTGCATAATTTTTATATTCGCAAGAGTGAGCAGTGACCTGGACGATATTATTCGAAAGTTTGGGATGTTACCCTCCCTAGCAAATCAAAAGATTTTTGTTCTGTACTATATATTAGAAATGCCCGAACTGTAGACGCTCAAAAGAAATTTTAATAATTAACTAACTAATTAGTATTCAGAATGAGATGGTCTTGTCTGTTTAAAATTCCTCTTATGTCTACATTGTTCACAACAGAAGAGAAATGTATTTAAGATCTGATTTTCACTCTGCCACTCTGACATGTCTGCTGCTCTGTGTACACATGCCCATTGGCAGCGTACATGCAGAATAAACATTCTAGGGAACGAAAAACTCCTTTAAGGGACTTAAATCCCCTTTATATCATGCCTGCAAGTAAAACATAAACCTGCATCGATTATTGAGATCCTTGTAAATTTGAAATCTGTAAAGCATTCCTTTTAGGTAGTCCTTGTTTTATAGTATAGCTTTTAGGTTTGTTTATTTTTTGTCTCGGTTATCTTCCTGTGATTAAAAAACCTCCAAAAAGCCCCAGACCAAGGTCAACCCTAAAGCCGGCTCTGTCAGCCTTCCCACTCTTGTGTGTTCTTGTATTTTGTCTTGTA